TGCGGATCGGACACAGTGTCGATCGGACACAGTAGGAAACGGACACACGGTGGTTGCAATCGGACACAGTGCAGATCGGACACAGTGCGGATCGGACACAGTGTCGATCGGACACAGTAGGAAACGGACACAGTGCGGATCGGACACAGTGTCGATCACCGTATCTAGCGGTGCACGTGGACGATGGTCTTGCGGTTTGCAGATCATCAAAGATCTTGCCGAAATTCTTACAACAGTTGAATGAAGAATTTGAAATCAAGATATGCAAGCCAAGTTACTTCGTAGGCATCGAAATTGATCGAGATGATAGACAACGGATAATCAAAATCCATCAAGCTACGTACATCAGAAAACTGATCGAAAAGTTCAAGATAAAAGAAGCAAAGGGCATCTCTATTCTAGTTGATCCTAACGTGAAACTATCAAGACGAATAAGTCCATCGAATGATGCAGAGAGGATTTCTATGTCAAGAATTCAATATAGCGAATTGATTGGATCTTTACAATTCCTAGAAAATGTCACTCGATTTGACATTGCGTTCGCCGTGAATATGTTAAGCAGATAATTACAAGATCCTGGACCCTGGACACTGGAACGCAGCAAAACGAGTTCTAAGATATCTAAAGAAAACAATTAACGAAGGAATTTCATTCAATGATATAATGCCAAAACGAGAGTGTATTTGTTTTTCAGATGCAGATTTTGCAGGAAACGAAGGTAAACGTCGATCTACCTCTGGGTACATTGCAGTCATGAATGGTGTACCTGAAGTCTTACTATAAGTTTGCGAGCCTACGAACGAATTGAATAATGGCCGTTGCATGCCGAGAAGGTGATTTTCGCTAGTGCCAATAACCAGACGAAGAAGAAGAATGAATGGTGTACCAGTGGCTTGGGCATCTCGTCGACAAAAGATAGTAACTCTATCGACCGCAGAGGCAGAGCTGGTGGCTGCATCACAGGCAGCACAAGAAGTTGAGTGGCTGCGACAAATGCTGACAACTCTTTATGGCGTTCAAGAAGAGGAAATGGATTCAATCAAACTAAACTTGGATAATCAAGCAGCAATCCAGTTGAGCGCAAACCAGGCGTTTCATCAACGAACGAAGCACGTGGACATTAAATATAAGTATATACGAAAAGTAGTTGAGTCAGGCAAAGTATTTGTCAAGTATTGTCCAACAGAGAACCAGCTAGCGGATCTGTTAACCAAAGGACTACTAAACACCAAATATAAGTGGTATATAACGTAGGAGTAACAGATAATATAACAGGTGTTAGACTGTAGTAGCATAACAGTTATGTAACTTATTGTATTATTATAATATAACTAGGTTATAAAACTATGATGTTGCCCCGTTATTTATATGTTATAATAAATACACATTAATATAACTGCAATATTGCGTGTTATATAACAACTGTTGCGTTGATATTATATTAATGCTGTATAACATAATTTCAATTACCGCCGGAATTATATAACCTCGATAGCATGCGCCATAGCGGCGCGTGCAAATTCGCGATCTCTTTCCGCTTCCGCTAGTGCCATCATGCCACGATCGCGATATACATTAGAAGACCGACCGTCCGTGGAAGATCGTGAACCGCGTTCGCGGGTGTCTCATGCGCGCGACGCGACGGCCCGTCGCTCGTGAAAGGATGCGACGCCGGCGAGAGACGGTCGAGGACGTCGCTTTGATTCGCCCTTGTATGAAAAATAACCTACTTGAAGGTATGTATATACACGTTAGAGGCTAGGTTAGAATACGTTGTGCATATCATACTATAATATAGGTCTTTTTCCGCAGTTCCGCTAGTGCCATCGTGCCACGATCGCGACGTGATCGCGACGATATACATTTAGAAGATTGCACCCGTCCGTGGGAGATCGTGTACCACGTTCGCAGGTGTCTCGTGCGTCCGACGGCCCGTCGGTCGTAAAAGGATGCAACGCCGGTGAGAGACGGTCAAGGACGTTGCTTTGATTCGCCCTCGTACGAGAAATAACCTACTTGAAGGTATGTGATATATGTTAGAAAGTTAGAACACGTTATGCACATTATTGCACATAAAATTTGGTGATACCGACAATATTGTCCCTTTCCTCAGAAGCTATAATAAGCGAAAACACTCTGGAGTCTCACAAGTCGCTAAATAAACGTGGAAAATCGAACAAGTACGACGACGCCGCAAATCTAGACGCCGCCGAGTCGGATAGCACGATACTGAAACCGAGGCAAGCATCAGTAGACTCCTTATTGGATTCCGGCATAGGCGACAGTTGTAACAGCATCGATAGCACAGAAAAGTTCGATATAGCCAAATTAAAGAATAGAAGATTGGAGAGACACTGCTGGTAACCAAAGATTCGGGAGAGCCTCGCTTCTAGACTACCAGGTACAAATCTACTATTTTGCATACGACAAATTAATACTTTGGCATTTTTGTAAATAATACAAGTGCTAATACGGGGTTGCGATTGTTTTTACAGAAAATTCCTACTATCAATTGGCAGGTACATTTTCCCTGGCGCGGAGGTTTATTCCAAATCTGAGCCGTACGATCAATGTTCCCTCTCGGCAAACTCCGAGCGCACAGATAGCAACAGCGATTCCTCTTCCGGAGAAGAAGAAGAAGACGAAGAGGAAGAGACATGTAAGTCTCGAGTTTATTATTGAGTTAACTTAATTCTTAAATTTATATGTTGGCGATTTTGTGATCAATATATCTTATTTTATTTAATTATTTCATGTTTTTCTATGTTACGTTCTTCAGGCGCGGACGATGATCTATCAGAGGACGCAAACATCGACGCTAACAGTCAGAACAACGAGAGCAAATTGTTCACTTAAATTGTTCACCATTTTTACTATCTACACGAGGATTATAAAAAAGCGATCGAGATTGCTTTTAGCTTACCGCACTTATCCGTAATTATTTCTTCTCCACCACAAATAATCTATTTAATCTACTTCGTATGTGTAAGATGTACATAATGGAATTTGCAATAATATTTCTAATAAAATTATTAAATATTTATATTTGTCCCTTTCCTACGCAAAAACATGTATGTCTTTTGCACATACTAATTCCAGAAAAGGTTTTTAAATTAATTTCAAGCAAAAGCAAATAAAACAGTTTGTTTTCGCTTAGAATTAATTTAACGATCTTTTCTGGAATTAGTATGTACAAAAGGCAAATTATAAATTAATTAATATACAGTAAAAGGTACAATAACAGTTACACTGCAGTTATATTACAATAATGCTCTAAATTATATTACTGCTATGTTCGAGAAGTCGAACATGTGCCGCGCGCGCCTGACTAATGCGCGCCCGGCCAACACGCGCTTATCAGATTGCGCGGCTCGCCGCGGCGCGTCGCCGGCTCACGTACAATTACTCGCGTTTAAAGTACGTTCGAGTAGCAATTTAAAGGCGAGCCGCGCACAGACCAGCATCGAATCCTACCGCTATACTCGGCGATCTCGCCTTAAGGAAGCGTTGAGAGACTCGAAATTATATCTTTTGTCGCGTCGAGTGAGATTCCATCTCCTCCGCGCAGAAATTATCGAGCGACTTCTCCTCCGCTCATTGCACTCCTGTGGAGCCATCGTGGAGACCGTGGCCCCCTCCAAGCACGACGCCCCTTCCGGGCCCGGCACAGTGGAAGCGGAGGCGCGGAGTGGCCTCACTCCGACTACGACCAGAAGGAAGAGGTGCCGAACCAGGACGCGGAGCCAGAGACGACGGAAGCGCCTCTCCTACCCGCCGGTACCTCAGGAGCGGCACACGAAGGAGGCGGAGCCCGCTAAACCGGTGTCGCAGGAACGGCACCAAGAGCCACCGGCCCTTGTGCAATCTCGTCTGGCCAACCAGCCAGTGCCGCAGGAGCGGCAGGCAACGAGACGGGAGCTGGACAAGGGACAGGCGATACGTCCGTGGAGGCTCATTCCACTGGAGCTCCCGGAAGTGCGCCGCACCAGGCCAGCCGGACTGACACTCCCGAAACGGGATTGCCGCATCTCTCGGCCATCGGTCCTCCACCTGATCCGCGTCAAGGAGACGCGAACCACAGCGTGCCAGACGGTGCTCAGGAGAGCTTTCCTGGCTCCTTCATCGCCAGTGGACCCACCGGATCAACCGACGGACAAGCCACCTCGCACCCCGGGCTCTAAAATCGACTTCAATAACAACTCGGTCCCCTCTGAGCCCCTTGCAAAGAAAGCCATCCGCCAAATTAACTTTTAAACCGTGCATTAGCACTTATATTTTTTGATTAGGCGCCTACAAGGCGCCGCCTAAGACAACGCAAACACAATGTACATAATTTAGACAGAGTATATTGTTTTTGTTACCAAATCTTGTCTCGCTGACTCACCGCCACCGTCCTGATCCCTATTGCGACTCCACGATATCAAACAGCTATATAAATGTTATATATTTATATTATATAACTGCAATACACACGAGTGGGAAATTACCACTAACGTGTACATAACCCGATACAATCGTGTTATATTGCGTGTTACATTTCGTTATATCAAGATAATATAACAGTAATATACTCGTGTTTGCTGGGCTGAGGCCTCGATTCAATAAATTAAAAGAACTTTTGACAATGCACCCGAGGTCTCAGTGGGAGTGTTGAGAAGGAGCCGAAAGGGAGTCTTCATGTGCATGGGCGATGAAAACGGGCGTTTGTGAACGCTTTGATAGTCTTCTTTCTCCTCTCTCTATATATATGTCAGTCCGCCTTTACACTAGCGTCACGTAACATCTTTTCACACGTCTTGTATTCCACATTAAATATCTGATCTTTCAGAGAAACTGTATTACTCACTTATCAACCTAACGACAATTTCTATATCTTTGACAAATAAAATTATATATAATTATATATAATTATATAAATTTATATATTTTAGGATTTACTTATTTAGAAAAATTCTAATTCATTTCTATAAAAATATATTAATATATATAATTATATAAAATTATATATAATTTTACGTGAGGAATCAGATATAATTTTATATAATTATTGTTACATATACAAGTACGGCCCACTGCCACGTAAGGCAGCATACTCCGGTCGAGCCAAAAGAGCGCGCCCGGCGTAAGGCGCCGCGCATCGACACGGCCACGGACATCTTGTCTTCCCGCCGACGTAGCTCTCTGTTCGTTACGTGCACACGCTTCCGACTGTACTCCGCATTGAAATATACTTATTGTTACTTACTCGGTCTTAATCATTTAAGGATCTAACAATTATATAGAAAAATATATATTTTATATAATTATATATTTTAATATATATTTATATACTATTATATATAAATATATATCTTAAAATTTTCTGATTTATACAAAATTATACATGCTTATATATAAATATATATAAATATATATACTTATATATAATTATATAAAATTTTATATAATTTTATATAAGAATCTAGATATAATTATATTAAATTAGATAAAAGAATACATATTTATATATAATTATACATAATTATATATGTTTATATATAGTTATATATAATTGTTTTTTCCCGGGCGTTTATAAAACTGCCACCCTTAATTCTCTTCTCTAAACATTTCCATTGAAGATAAGCATCACGATGGACCATAGAATTTTCGTGATCATAAATTCGATTTAGATTCTTCCAATTTTTATAATCCCTTTCGTGGATTACAAATCGTTGATTCTGTTTTAGTTTTACTAAAGAGAATACACGGAAGACAGAAGAGTGGTAACGATGTTTTTGAATATATAAGCCAGTTACGATTTATTACTTCTCCGTTAAAACATTTTTTTAAAAACCATTTTTTAAAAAATTTTTTGTCATCTTCTAAAGCAGATTCTCTAAAGTCGGCATTTTTTCCCTGATCCGGTCCATGTTTTACTAAAAAAAAATCTTATCTTATCTGAAATTAATGGTCAAGATAGTGGATTATCAAATTGATAGTCTGAGCCTCTTCCTCTTTTTTCTTGTTCTTAAGTACTTGTATTGACTCAGTTTCAATTAAATTGCAGGTAGTGATTTTTGAGACTTCATCCACTTCTTCTAAATCTGTAGTTTTTGTCGAGTGATGCAACATTAGTTGCTGCATCACTTTGAAGTACCATATTTTTCTAACCAATTATGCAACGAAATTGCACAAGTTTGATTTACTTCATCTCTCAATCTTTTCTTTTTTCTACATTCAGCACTACTAGGTTTTTTTAAAGCCATCTGGAAATTTTCCCTATGTGATCAGATTATGCATAGTTAAGATATAAAAATATTTCATATAAATCTGCCAAATCAAAAATATCACTAAATGTTTACATTGTTTATAAATATGCATTAACCTCTTTGTTACACAAGTTGCTGCTATATTTATATCTACCTCGGACAAAAACTAAATTGAACCTAAATTGAACAATTTTTAGAAAAATAATATTATATTTCGTCCTCCGTCTAACGAGAGAATATACCTCCGTCTGTGCATAGGCGGGCAAAGTGGAGAGAACTTGGCGCGCTATACTTATTTAACTTACTGTTAGTTCTCGTGACTATCACTTCGTAAGGGCGTGAGGACGCTGCTGGCTGCAAACTACTAGAAAGAATAATAGGAGTTTCCCTGTTGGCAACGCGTGATACCAGGCGCAGGCTCTGTCATACCGACTGTTCTTTATTCTTAAAATATTATGACCGCTGGGTCAAAGCTTGCCGTATTTACGGTACTCAGAAGTCAGACGTCAGACGGTACTGAGACTACTGAGTAGCGCGCCACGCTCTCCCCATTTTGCCCGCCTTTGCGTAAACGGAGGACGGAGGTATATCTCTCGTTGGACGCGTAGTTTATTAAGGTTGGAAAAAATATGTAAATATGTTGGAAAGTTAAGTTCTCGCGGGCATGCGCCCATTCAGTCCAAGTGGCGCCATTCGGCGTCGTGTCGGTCATGATGGTTATCGGGATTTTGATCGATATCTCGCGATGAATATATATCGACGAAAAGGCGACCGTTGCGCTTATCGCGACTTTCATTTTTCCTACACTATCCGTGTGATCACGACCGGCGATCCACGCGTTTTTGTAACGTGCGCATATACAATAAATATAGGTATATGTCCGCAGTGAAATTAACTCTTAGTGATCTGTCTTTGTTCTACCGCAATTGATCTCTTATCTCGATTTCAATGTATCTTTATCAGGTTATGGGCCCAGGACGTGCGAGATGCGATTGATCTCGCAATCGAACTTTGAGGTTGTGCTACCACGTGCTGTGATAGAATCGCGTTACCGCCCTCTTGTAATAAGAACCAAGTAGTGTGTGCTTGCGTTACCGCGTGCTGTTCGATATCGCGTTACTAACTCTTACGTTTTGATATAATTTGCGTTATCGCGTGCTTCTCGATATTAATACTTTTTGCGTTACCACGTGCTTGTGATAAAATGATCTTTTGCCGTGAGGAACAATGACTATGATGAATCCGGATAAAATAAAATAAAACTACCGAAAGGCACGATCGGAATTGGTTTTGGTTATCCATCCGTCAGAGCTTCCACAGATTCGACATTTGACGTCTTCGAGAGAGGTCTTGCTCAAACTCGAATCAATCTATGCGTCGAGAGGGTCAGCCAGGAAGGCAACTCTACTCAAGCAGCTTATTTGCAGCGCTTGGTGGACGGTGGAGACGTAAGAGATTATATGAACAAATTCTTTAACGCAGTCGACAAACTCTCGGTTATGGATGTGCAAATTAATGGTGACTTATTGTCCATTATGTTATTGTATAGTCTTTCACCAAGCTATGAGAATTTTAGATGCGCGATCGAGTCACGCAATGAGCTCCCCACAGCCAAGGACTTCAAGGCCAAAATTCTGGAAGAGAATGACGTCAGGGCACAGTCTGCAGTAGTTGAGGCGGCCGGTGCTCTCGCGACCAGCCGAGGTGGAAGGCGTCTGCCGAGACGACGTAAAGGGAAGATGGAGCACAAAGGCTCTACCAAAGACGCACCGGGGATCGTGTGCTACAAGTGTGGACAGCCGGGGCATAAGTCTCCTGATTGCCCGGATATTTTGGGAGAATCCTCCGATAAATCGAAGCGGAAGCCCACGAGCTGCCCTCCGGCTAAGCCGGCTGCTAACGCGGCTGACGACACATATTTGGCTCACCATTCTACTTTTGAAGATAGCTGCCAAGTTTCAAGCAAATCCGTGGACGAGCACGCATGGATTCTGGACAGCGGATGCACCGCGCATCTGTGTGGCGAGAAGGATTTTTTTGACAGGATTGACTCTTCGACGACGGGCAGACTCAACCTGGCGAGTCAAGCTTCAACGATTGTGGAAGGGAAAGGACCCGTGAAGATACCGATATCAGGTAACCAGAGTCGTCGCGTGGTTGAGCTTCAAAACACACTTTTTGTTCCAGACTTAAGGACCAACCTAGTTTCCGTGGCTAAAATTACTGACAGAGGCCATACGGTCATGTTCCGCAGAGACTCAGCGCTGGTTACTGATTAGGATGGAAATGTGAGAATAGAGGCTCGCCGACGGGGTAACCTATATTACCTTCAGGAAGAAGTCGACTGCGCAGGGGCCGCCAGCGCACCTCGACATTCCAATTTGTGGAAGTGGCATGAACGACTGGGACATCTAAACTCTAGGAACCTGGTTTAGTCTAGTCAAATTAGACAAAAAAAGGCTTTTGCTCGAAAGTAAAGCGGGATCAGTGAAACCTTTTTAGGGTTGTTGGGAGATGTAGAAGAATTTATTTCTGAGTTGTCGGGTTAATCGGACCGATGGATTTTTAAGGGGGAGGAAGGGGAATGAAAAATTTCGTTTTTTTCGCAATAACTCGGCGAATTTTGACCGTATTTAATTACATTAAATCATAAAATTTAAAAATTACATTTAAACATTAAATAATTCAATTCAAATTGCATTTAAACATGAAAGTAAAAATTATATTTCAATATTACATTTAGATATTTTTGAATATTATATTAAAACGTCACATATAAAATTTAAAATATTAACATTAATCACTTACTTAATTTAAAATTTTAACCCTCAATTAGCACGCGGGGTGTCAAACACCCCAAAACGAATCAATGACACATTCCAATACGTTCCACCTGGCAGAAATCGTCAGTGCCCTTCCAAACACAATTCGAATCAGACGTATAGAATTGCTGGGGTGCTGAACACCTCAAATGCAGAATTTTTTTGAAGTCTCAAAACTAAAAATTTCATAGTTTAGGCTAATGGGTATCATTTTCCAGTGTTTAATGTATGTACTTGATTTTTTTCAAGCCTATTAAAGCCTCCATTTCGCCGTACCCAACGTTCAAAGTGTGTGGGGTGTACAACACCCCGTGTGCAGATAACGTTCGATCGCGGACGTGTGCTAGTTAAGGGTTAATGTAGACAAATATTGATTTTAGGTTAGGGTCTTTACAAAATGAATTGTAGGGCTTTAAAAGAGTTACAAAATGAGGGATTAGTAAATTATGTACATCCCTAAAAAGGTTTCATTGATCCCACTTTACTTTCGAGCTCAAATGTCTAATTTGACTGGACTAGTTAAGGTCATCGGCCGTCTCGATCCCGACGTATCTTTATCATGGAAATGTGCGATTTGTTTGCGGGGAAAGATGACTGTTCTCCCATTTCCAAGAGGGGACCCACCGTGTGCCGAGGTGTTGAGTATCGTGCACACTAATGTTGTAAGTCCTCTTCGTGTCCAGTCAGCGAATGGTGCCAGATTTTTTGTCACATTCATAGACGACAGTTCAAGGTGGTGTGAGGTGTATTTTTTCAAACAGAAGAGCGGGGTATGTGATGCATTCAGGCATTACAAAGACTTTGTTGAGCGACAGACCGGGAAAAGCATTAAAGCCTTGCAGTACGACAACGGTAGAGAGTACCTTAAAACAACCTAGCTTCCGAAGCGCGGATCTAGCTCGCGGTGGGTCAGGGTTCGGAGTAGGCGCGGAGGAAGACACAAGACTCGGTTAAGATATAACAAAACAAAATAAGATTTTATTCAGTTACCGTGAATACATCGAGTAATCGCGTAGACGGTACAACAGATCGCGGGCATGATTTAGGGACCCTCTAGTAAGGGATGAGCAAACACTCCGGATACGCTGCCATTAGAGGGTCAGAAGCAATAGCCGCGCAATGTTTCAAACTCGCAGCAATAAATACTTTGAAAACAATCAAATAAAGAATAAAGAAATAAAGAACAAAACATATATTTGTTTTAAACAGACACAATACAATACATTAATACAATATATTTCACATTAATAAAAACGAAGCAAAATAAACTGTTTGAAATAAAACAATTAATATATAAATTAATATATATTATTGCACGTTCGAATGCATAGCCATTGTTTTACTACTTCTAATATTCTTCTTCTTTGAATTCTTATTCTGGGATGCAATTCTTAATCTAAACGTAGTATATCTATTAATAATTTTTTTTTTTAATTATGATAATCCGGAACAGAATAAGGAATCTCTTCAAATTTTGAAACAAAGAATTGTTTCACATTTAATTTTGCATGTGAAGAACAGATTGTCTTATAGTAAGCCCGAAATATTTTTTCCATAGATAGGAAATAATTAAATGTTGTAGTGTTAACAAAAAATAAAGTATCTTTTTTACTTTTCTTTTTTATACAAATTAGCTTTGAATAATGAAATATTTTTGGCGTTTTAGAACCTGTATATTTTAGACAATCATAACACGTTTTTTGGTTTTTACTAATATTACCCACTATATATCCAACTATATAATATAATCCATTTAATTCAATATTGTTTAGCTCAATGTTTTTGTGCGGTATATTTATATTTAATGTTCGATCTTGAATTGTACTGTTCTTTTGTTCGTCTCTATTATTTTTTATATTTTGTAAAATGTCTAAAAATTCTGATAAAAATGTTCTATCATCTTCGTCATAATTTCCAGAAGAAACATTTGTCATATATTGGGAAACACAAATAAATTTTATATTATTTGTAAATTGTAAACAATTTGGACATTCGTTTTTAGTTCTAACTACACTAAATACATTTTCTAAGCAATCTTGAGTAAATCTGGACCCAAGAACAAACTCAAAATTCCTTTCATTTAATAAGTATTCCGACACTTCAAGAAATAATGTAGTAGATATCACAACGGATGTTTGAAACGGTTTTCATTGATTCTTTGTACCGACGTTTACTGAGGAAAAAAACTGTATGATATCTTTTAGATGTATTATTGCATTTTCGTAACATTCCATATTCTTTTTTCCTAATCCAAACGCTGGATGACGTGCAGTCATTATTCTGAACCAACGAACAATAAAGTCTACAAACCATGCAGTAGTGTAATATTCCTCTTTAGAATGCATTTCGGCCAACAATTTTAAACCAGAACTTGTTTCATCATTTAAAACACTAGTAGCACTACTGACTCGCATTTTTAAGAAATGTTTTTTTGTATCTAAATGTTCTGGTGTAAGTTTTGGAGCGAGTTGAAATTCTAAATTTTCTTGGGCAGAAAGTAATTCTTTGAAATGTGAGGCTTTAACAGTATAACTTGGCAAAATGTACTTTGCAACAAAAATATCAGGAATTTCCAAAACTTCATTTGTAAAAAGACCACTTTTAATATTTTTAAAGGCATATGGAGTATCGCCAAAAAACCATAATTTTTTATTTTTATCGCAAGGATGTATACATGAATTACTCACAGTGAAGTATCTATTCACTGAAATATTAAATGAATTCCACATACTTTGATTCGACGCGCCCATATCGGATGTTACAGAATGGACTCGTAAACCTATTTCTTCGCACTTTTTAATAATTTCTATGATAATTGGTTTATATGTTCTTCCGCATGTTTTCTTATTTGTAAAATAGTATGCGACTATCTGCTTCCATCGGCTTGCTAAACCTGCTATTAAAAAAATTAATGCTTGATCAGCTTCGCCACTATGATCAGGTAAACTTACTTGACCTAGCATTTCTTTTGTAGAGTTATCATATATATTTCCAGGCGTAATACTCATTTCATCTAATACTAGCATACAGTCTTTGTCTATTTCTTCAAATTGTAAAACTTTAATGCGTAAGAAATCAAAAATTTCATCTATTAAACCGCTTCTAAATTTTAAATTTTCCAGTCTGTTGGTTAATGTTCGAAGAGAAGGTAATGGATATCCCTGCTTTAACAATTCTAAATAACCCGAAGTACCACATGCAAATTTCAACCTGTACGATTTTAATAAAGTAGCGTTACACCATTTGGCCACTTTCTTATTCTTATTTGTTAAAAACTTTACTTGGTCATCATTAAAAAATTTAAACGTAACTTCTACAAAGGAATTCCTTTTACATACTTCTTTTTCAAGGCGCCGTAGTTTTAACTGTAATTCTTTTTTATATATATTGTTTGTTGTCTTCATTTTCTTTATGATTCAATTTGTCTTCCTCAATTTTCTCTCCAATTGTTGATTTTTTTCTAAACATTTCTTCATTTCATCTGTTATTGCTATATATCTGGATTAAGAGAGAGAGAGAGAGAGGGAGAGAGAGAGAGATTTTCACAATCAGGTGAATCAGGTACCAAATCGTTATTTTTCTTCGTCCTTTTAGGAGGTATTATATCTGTGATTTCTACATCGTCTTCCGCTGGCTTTTCTGAATTAACAATGTTTTGTTTTCTTTTTAAAATGCTGACAAAGTGCATTTTTGGCATTTGTATAGTACCTACAAAAGAATAAAAAGCATACACAACTTATTCCTGACATGAGTTAATGCATAGTTGCATTTGCACCCTATTTGTAAAGTAGACGTTCTCTTTTTTTGAGCTAACATTGAAAAATATTGGCCAAGCATTTCCAATCCCAGCCGGAATGATAGCGTCTTTTCGACGTCTATAGATGTCGAATCAACATCTATAAGATGTCAACGAATTCGACGTCTACAGACATCGGCGTTCCGGCTGGGATACAACCAATTAATATTCAGCCAACATGCTACCAATGTATTGTGTACTACTAGAGATCCTATTACAACTTACAATTAACGAAGCAGACGTCAAGATATAATCTACTAATTGTTTAATAAATAATGTAACATTAACAACTCACCACCTTGTAACATTTCCACATGCAATTCCTTTATTGGTACAGCATTTGGTCTTAATTTTTGTTTCTTTCCAAATATGTTTTCATCTTCCCACATATTATCACTAAAATGTTCCTTGAAAAAAAAAACATTAGTATAATACATATTAAAATAAATAAATAATAAATTAAGGCTCACAAGGACAAATAAAAAATAACCTTAAAATTATAATACTTAAAACTTACATCGCATAATGCAGGATATTTTTGTAGAGGACAGCCAACATTATCTATCCACTTTTTTTTTCGGGAAGGAGATTGTGGAAAATTAAACATTTTATGACCATTTCTGGTACTATTACGGCAATTACGAGCAGTGCACGTTCGCATTGCAATTGTGGTTACTCTAAAATATAAAATAAAGGCCGATCGCTGCTGAATGCGACTGTCAACTGTCAAAGCTGTGGCCGGTATTACATACAAAAGCTTAGCGCGCCCGTTTTGAAACACGGAAGTGACCCTCGAATGGCGGCGACCAATCCGTATCCAGTTGACCTGTTTGCTCATCCCTTACTAGAGGGTCCCTAGCGTGATTACGACGGTGGCGATATACAGAGAGCGCGGAGTAAACGGATATATACAATAGATCGCGGGCGTGATTATGCCGGCGGTGATGTACAGAGAGCGCGGGGTAAACGGATATATGCAATAGAAAGCGCGGAGTGAACGGATATATACAATCGATCGCGGGCGTGATTACGGTGGCGGTGATAGACAGAGAGATCGCGGGCTGACTGAGGCACGGTATACTACCACCGTGTAGACGACGCGGTATCGTAAGCTTGGATAGCGTCGGCGCCGCGGCGGTAAGCGCGCGCGGCGCTGGAGCATGATTGGACGCAATATCGAGCGGCTAAGACCCTTAGCGGAGATAGAGAAGTACTCTCTATCTCCTGACGCACCGAATTGTGTAGGCGGAAGGCGGCTCCGGGTGGCCAAGACCCTTGGCGAGTAAGAGAAGGACTCTCTTACCCTGGTTCACTCCGGTGTCACAGGTGCGTGGATGGAAGTTCGAGTCAACCGCCCAGATGCTTTACTTGGCAGAGGCAGAGAACACTCTCTACCTCCTGGTTGTTCGACTGTGGGATTTCGGGATTCGTGAGCAGCGGGGAATCGGTCGGATCGGTTTGCTGGCTCACGGCGGAATCTAAAACCTAGCAACATTGCTCGGTTTATATACGGCCGCGGTGGCGTGTCGGCGTGGCGGGGGTATACGCGACGGCAATCGCGCGCGCCGGGATGGAGCGGCGGAGCGTTCGGGAAGTACGGCGCCCCGACGCCGCGATTGCGTTCGGTGGCTCTCGGCCGTTTTCGGCACCGCTCGGCGCTTCGTGTCGGTTGCCGCGCTAAGTCCGTTTGCGGACTGATACGCGAGATGAATAGTTTAAAAAAGGGCACATCGTGCCTTGTCTCGCCCGGCGGGTGTTCGGCCGGGCGGCATCCGGCTGATGCTCGCCGGGAATGATGCGTTTTGGGGCGCATCGTTACAACCTCAACGACGAGATGAATTCTCTGTTGGCAAATCTCGGGATTAAGCGACGGTTGACGGTCGCTCGCACCTCTCAGCAAAATGGGGTCGCCGAGCACATGAACCGAACTCTCCTAGATATGTCGCGCTGTTTAATGCGACGAGTGATGCGGTCGCTACCGCTTGCCATATACGGAATCGCTGTCTGTCCAGTAGTTTGGGAGGCCTCACCTCCTATGAGAAATGGACTGGCGAGTTACCGAAGTTGGATCACCTCAGAACATTCAAAGCAAAGGTGTTTGTTCTTTACAAGGACCCAACAAAGGACAAGTTTGCGCCTAGGTCAGCCGAAGGGGTGCTCATTGGTTACCCACGAGAGTCCAAGGGATACCGTGTGTGGATGCCTGAAGAGCAAAAAGCTATCGTTGCAAGAGATGTTAAGTTCCTTGAGGCGGCGCCGGCGCCCGAAAGTATGGCCGATGAACATGACGTTAATGAGTTGTTGAGAGTGGAGGAGCGCTCAGGCGAGGATGCCGCTTCGGATTACTTGCCTGGACCGGCACCTCAGCGGCGACAAGGAACACTCGGTTTGCCAGTGTCTCCACCCACTCCAGATTATTGACCCGCACCGCCGTTTGTCACAGGAAGCGCCCGGCGTGCGCGTGGGCGACCTAGGTTAGTACGTACCGGTGAAAGGGGGCCGCCTCGTAAGATATATCAGACATTTACAGGTAGCGAACCGGATCATACTGATGTACCGGTGGAAGTAATCAACGACGAGGTGGACGATGACGTCTTCCTCAATGCGACCCTGCCGCAGGAGCCTCTGCAGGAGATGTTTGCCGGCATCGCTGAAGTGTCCTTACGCGAGACAATGTCCAGTGAGAAACGTGAGGAATGAAAGGATGCCATACTGTCCGAGGTGGAAAGAAGAATGATACTTGAAACGTCATTAAAAAACCTAAGGGCCAAAAGAATGTGGGCTGCCGGGTGGTTCTGACGAACAAGTATGCCACAGATGGATTCATCGAGAGGCGAAAGGCCAAAATTGTCGCTAAGGTTTAGCCAGAGGTTCGGCGTTAATTACCACCGCACGTTTGCACTTGTAGCTTGACTTGAGTCAATTAGACTGCTGCTAGCCCTCGCAGCCGAGCTCAATCTAAAACCATCTGGCAGTTTGATGTTGTCACAGCCTACCTGAACGGAAACCTTGAGGAGGAGGTTATCATGGATGTTCCAGATATACTGCTGGAGACGATCGAGCGATTAGTCCTCGAGAAGAGCATCACTCCTAAGATGAAGATTCAAGCCGATACGATGATAAAGATCCTAAGATCGGGCGGAGATGCCTGTCGATTGAAGAAAGCCTTATATGGTCTACGCCAAGCCGGTCGACAGTGGCAGATTCGTCTGAAGGAAAAACTTGAGAGCATGGGGCTCTTACCGACACACGGAGAACCGTGCTTATACCAAGCACGTCGTGGGGAGGACATACTTCTGCTACTGATCTATGTAAACGACATATTGGTGGCTTCCCGAAACGAGCAATGGATGACGGAAGTCAAGCAAGACTTGATGGAGAATTTCGAGATCGAGGACCTCGGCATAGCCAAACGTTGCCTTGAGCTCGAAATTACTCAAGAAGAAGATGGAATCCTCCTTACCCAGAAGGGATACACATTGGACATGCTGGCGAGATATGGGATGGAGCAATTTAATCCCATCTCGATACCCTCGGAACTCCACTCAGGGGACACACCGGAGATTCCGGCAGGTTTGGAGGCTGGTTCCTGGCCATATAGGGAGCTCATCGGCGCTCTCATGTATTTGGCTGTCGCCACGAGACCAGACATAGTAAATACGGTGTCCAGGTTAGCGCAGTTCAACAGTGATCCGAGGAAACGGCATTGGCTGGCTGCGAAACGGGTACTCAGGTATTTGGCGGGGACCATAGATTTGGGCTTGCTTGGCGATTGCGCGATTGACCGACGCTCGTTTACCAGGTACGCTTTCCTGCTCGGTGGTGCAGCCATTTCGTGGAAGTCTCAAAAGCAGCGCACTGTGGCGTTGTCCTCGACGGAAGCGGAGTACGTCAGCATGACGGAGGCGGTTAAAGAAGGGCTCTACTTGCGCAGTCTTCTCACCGAGTTAGGACTGGGCCGCATGGCTGACACTGTGCTATATATCGATAATCAAGGCGCGCAGTATCTGGAGCACGATCACATGTACCACCCTCGCACGAAGCACATCGATATAAGGTATCATTTCCTCAGGCAGTCCGTTGCGGAAGACTTTGTGACCTTAGAGCATGTATTCACCAACGAAATGGAGGCCGACATACTGACGAAAGAACTGCCGGCCACCAACCATTTGGAGCTGCGTCGAGGGCCTCGGAATTACCAGCGCATCATAGCTCCGGAGGGATTGGCCGTGTGCGTATTGAGGGGGCGTGTTGGAAAGTTAAGTTCCCGTGGGCATGCGCCCACTCAGTCCGAGTGGCGCCATCCGGCGTCGTGTCGGCCATGATGGTTATCGGGATTTTGATCGATATCTCGCGATGAATATATATCGACGAAAAGGCGACCGTTGCGCTTATCGCCTCTTTTCCTTCCTTCCTTTTCTCCTTCCTTTTACTTCCTTTTCTCCTACATTATCCGTGTGATTACAACCGGCGATTCACGCGTTTTTGTAACGTGCGCATATACAATAAATATATCTGTCCACAGTGAAATTAACTCTTTTCTTCAGCGATCTGTCTCCGTTCTACCGCGATTGATCTCCCATCTCGATCCCGACGTATCCTTATCGAAATATAGTATATAAACAATATTATTAGGCTACTGTAAAATCCAAGCTCAGACCGTAAATTGTTTATTTAATATTGATTAATAATATTTTTGATAAAAAAGCCGCCTAAAATGGAAATATTGGTTTAGTTTTAGTTCAGACGATAGCCACATATACTTTTTCTGAATAAGAAAATGTTAGTTTTTTGCATTTCAGATACCTGGAACAGCTAGAATTATTTACACCGTCTGACATTTATACCTTCTAGTGACCAAAATACCTATAATATATAATAAAATAGAAAAAAAATTTTGTTACTTAAAAAATAAAAGTAAAATTTTAAAATAAGGTGAAGAAAACATGCAAAGTTTAACGTTATTCACTTTCTTCGTTTCTCTATAAAAAATTCCTGAAAAATATCTATTTTAAAGATCTTTTAAATCAAAATACACCCGTTAATAATTTTCTACATTCTCTTCCTGACTTCTCAATATAAATATAAATTTATTTCTCTTGCCATGGTTTTATTCAATTATTCCGGCGTTTTTATATTTGTGATTTAATTAGATTATTGTTTATTTTGTTTATATTATTAGGTGATTGTTTAATGTTTTAGTCTAGACTAATTGTTCGAAAATTATCATTCCTATCTCGAGCGGCCATTTCCGAGCCGACCAATCAGCGACGGACCCGAGTTGACGGATCGATATATCGACTGTTGCGGAAGATCGCATGCTCACATCGACGCTCTCGTTGTCGCGATCATTCGTTTCCGGGTCCTCTGTGTAAAACGGATGCAATACG